TGGCTGGGGAATTCTGGGAGTTGACGTCCACGCATCTTGAAGTTGCCAAGCTTGAGAAACACTGCCTTATATCATAGCCTCCTTGCGTCCAGCACAGAAATGTAGACCTTTTTTCAATAAGGAGATTAATCTTTTCCCCCCCTTGAAAGTGAATGAGGGCTTTGTTGGAAGGTGTGGGAGAATGCATACCATAATACAAAAGAAAAATCACAGCCGACGCTGCAAACGATCCCACGAACTGACCAATCACATACGCCGGAAGTTTCCGCCAGAGAAGTTTTCCTACCACGCAGTTGGCGAAAGTTATGGAAGCGTTCATGTGAGCACCTTTTAGCGCAAAGACAACGGGAGAAGAATCATTGTGATGGCAGCAGTAGCAATGTCAGCAACAGCGTGATTTGATAGAATCGATCATCATCCATTTTTGCGGTATACCATGGGGGAAGACAGTTACACTATAAAATGCCAAGAAATCTCTGCTTAAGGCATCAATTTAAACAAAAGTTAGGGAAAATGGTAGGAAAAACATTCAGCAAAAGGATCCATGGGCCATCGTGTGCTATGTATGCAGTGGAGAGAGTCGAAGGATCCTACATTTGTTCTACATGTGGTGAAGGAGAACCTGGGCACTTCAGCTAGAAGAGTGTTTCTCAACCTCAACAACTTTAAGATGGGTGGACTTGAACTCCCAGAATTCCCCAGCCAGCATCTAAAAGTGTCAAGGTTTATTTATTTGTTTATTCATTCATTCATTCCATTTCTATGCCCACCTATCTCGAAAAGTGACTCTGGGCAATGAACAATCATAACATCAGTTAAAACCAAATTACAAACACAATACAAAAGAAAATTAAATATATACAGCAGTCTATAAAATTATAATCCATAGATATTAATATAACCAGGAAACAGGAACCTTAACACCAGGCCCGGGCACATAACCAGGTCTTCAAGACCTTCCAAAAGGCCAACAGGGTTGGGGCCATCCTAATCTCTGGAGGGAGGATGTTCCAGAGGGCAGGGGCTACGGCAGAAAAGCCACACCTCTAGTCCCCACCAGCTGACATTCCTTGGCTGACTGGACCCAGAGCATGGCCATCAAGCTGGACCAGATTGGATGGGTAGTATCAGGCCTAGCCCAAGAACAACAGTGAAGCAGTCCAGTTGAGTGAAGTTCCTTTATCTGCTTACACCTTATAGACAGAATCTTGCCAGACTAAATCTGTACTACAGCAACTAGTGGAT